CCCTACAGCTAAGACTCGGAGAAACTGAAGAATGGCCAGAAAAGTGTAAAAGCCAGAGGCCCGTTTTGTCCTGGTAGTGCTGAGATATGCCATGGATCCTGTACCCATGAAATCACTAAAATGTTTGCTTGAACAAAACCCACACAATGACAAAACTAGTTGACATGCCAGTGTGTGTTGGGGGCGGGGCAGTAATTTTAAAGATGGTACTTGTTAGGCTCTCCATGCAAAGCCTGACAGTTCAATCACCAGGATCACATAGTGGAGAGAACACAATCAACCATATTTGTTCTCTGACCTGCACATGCACTGTGTGGCATGTGTATCTCCCCCGCCACACACACACACACACACACACACACACACACACACACACACACACACAAATAGGTTTTCCTTTTGTTTCTGGTTGTTTTTAACAAAAACAAGGGACCACTGACATTTGTCATGGCTCAGCAGGTAAGGGTACTTGCCACCAAGCCTCAAGACCAGAGTTCCATCCCTAGGACCCACATAATCTAAGAGCGACCCTCTAAATAAACGTTTAAAAAGTCATCTTCTTGAAAGTGATTGGCTGGAGGCCTGCTCAAGATTAGGACTGTTTATTCATTGTGAGGATGATAGGCAGTTGAAGAAAAATTCCTTAGTCTCATCATCACTGGCAAGTTGCCCGAGACCAACCCTAGCACCCTAATGAAACTCAGACTCACACCACACACATACACACACATACATACACACGCACACACACACATACAATGTAGATCCTAAGAGGAAGGGGATCAGGAGTGAGAACTGGGGCAAATGCAAAATACTAAATTAACACTGCAGTCTTACTATATTCTACTAGCTAAAGTACTACACACACATCACACACCATCATGACTACATAAAGAAAATTGCCCGTTGTATTCAGCCCAGAGAAGTCACTGTTCCTGGGACAGTTTGGCAATCCTAAGGCAGACATTACCCCCTTTCACACCAGATTGTGGAGCAAACTGCCTATTGGATGCGTGAACGGATGCCGAGATGGAACAAGGAAAGCAGACTGTGTCCTCTTGGTGAGGACAAGATAACGCAGACTCTGGAGGGGAGGTGAATAGCGCAGCTCAATGTGTAGAAACCCTGCTGTCTTTTTGGTCCATTATGGCTACCAGTTCCTAAGCTGCTGAGTACAGCTGGGTGTGAAGGTCTGCCATGTTTCTAAGTCTAGCTGTCACTGTCCTTCAGAGTGAAGCAGGTGACATAATTAACCAGACTCGGCCATCTATCACTCAGGACACAGAAAACACTCATCTGGCACAAATTACTCTCTGTCCACTAAAAGGGCAACCGTTTGGACAGGTTGTACATCTTTATGCCCTTTGCTCTCCTAAAATATGCAGATTATTCTTCCTCTTTGGTATCCTCTTTTCAAGCTCTGCCTGTTGTTACCTCTATGCTCCATCTCTCCTAGTGGCACTGTGACCCGCCTGGGTACTCAAAAGGAAAATATTTCGAGGGGACCTTTTCTTGCCACTATCACCCAAACAATGCAAATGCAGCCTCGGGACTATTTACCTCTTCTGATGACAACCGAGAAATGACAAGGCAGGGGGCTAGGCACTGTCCCACTTTAGCGTAGACATGGGCATGCAGGGTGCCAGGTGTTCAGACTCATCCCTGAGTGAATAGACGACAGCTGTTTACACACAGGACGTGGTTTGGTGTCCAAAACCTCAAGTGTGAAGTGAAGAGCACTTCATAGATCTCTAGAGAACAGCAGATCTCAAACTGATGAGTGGCAGGAAATTCAGCCCTCGACACCTTATCCTACTACCCATTCCCTACCAGAAATGAACTTATCTCTAGGCTGCACATTTCAAGGACACCCAGTTCCTATGGCCTCAAACATATGAAACACTAACTCATCTGTGTTCGGCTCAACATTTACCAGTAACCAATGACACAGCGGAAAGAGACGGAAACATGGGACTGGGGATATGGTTACGAGGACAGGCTTTTCTTCCCGAGTTCCAGTGTCATTTCCAGCACCCACATGGCCACCTGCAACTCCTTCACTTCCGGCAGATCTAACACTCTCTGCCCCTGAGAGCACCAGGTATTCACGAGGCATACTGACACACATAACTTAAAAACAAACAAACAAACCCAGCAAAATATACACCAATCACCACACAGCTTTTCCTTTGAAGGTAAAAATTTTATTTTTGAGGAACTTGTTACTGCACATTTCAGAGAGAGCTATGTAAGAAAGCAAAAATGTTCTCCCCTCATCCTAGGAATAAATAAGGGCATAAAATTTTGTCTTAAATCATGACACTTGGAAGTTTAGCACCAGCATCCAAAATGAACAACAAAGGAAAAAGAGCATTTACTATATATTTCAGATTTCTTTGGTTGGGGCAATCCCCATGTGGTATTAATATTTCTTCTTTTAATTCATATTACCAAAACAGTAAAAACCAGGAAAAAAATATAAAGCTAGTGGTTGCTGAAACTGGGGAGGCCGCTCTCCTGCGCCTGTGCAGGTTCCCGGGACGCAGCTTGATGGACGCTCGCTGCCCTCATTCCCTTTGTAGTTGTTAGTTTCGTAGAGAATAGCAGTAAACATTCTAATGTCCAAATCTCGGTTAGTCTTCCATTTTATTGCTTAGATGTTTCTTTGGTGTTGGTAAGGTCGTGGGTGTGCTTTTTGCCTTGTTTTTGAATGGTCATTAAATCTTAAGGTCACCTGGAAGAAATTTAAAACAGACTTAGCAAAGATGACACACAATGACCACAAGTTAAGACAAACAGGCAAAAGTTATGCTCATACAATTCAAAATCATTTACAAGGCTCTAAACCAAGTACACATCTTGCACAGGTAAAACAGGCTGAAAATTCTTAACTTGTGGTGAAATACTTTTACAAAGTAGAGAGTCAGTACATAACAGTGCACATGAAAGCCTTGATGCCACCTGTAACCCAGTGTTGTGGAAGAGAACTCGGGGCTTGTTGGCTATAGCTTAACTATACACAACACAGTGGGTTAACGTAGTTCTGAATGGTGCTCTGGGGAGAGCCAACTCCAATCCCACAGCTCTGCTCAGGAAAGCTCATTATGAACCAACTCCAAACTGCACTCTCAACAAGTGTAAAACAGAGTGGGTTTTACAGCACCCAAGGGTCGCAAGAAGAGATATGTACAAATCAGTCAGAAGGGCGACAGGTTAAAACCCTGGGAAGGAGCCAGGCGCGGTAGCGCAGGCCTGCCATCTCAACACGGACTGCAGGAGAGTGGTAGGGCCCCTGGGGCTACAGAATGAGCCCTGCTCTGTCTGCCTCTCTAGCCCCGCCCCCAACAAATGCAGAGCCAATCAAGTATGGTATAAACGTTTAGCCTAACCCTTGCACAGCTACAGCCTCCTGGCTACACTTCAATATAGACAAGTGAGACCGACAAGGTCTTTAGCAAGACGGAAAACAGGTGACCCTCACACTGAGGCTGCTCTTCTCCTTCCCGTTCTAACACCTGTGTCTCTCCAAGCACTCCCGAGACAGCCGTAGCTATCCAAGTCTGCTCTCCCGGCCCACAGCAGCCATCAAGGAGGCGGAGGATGAACCGCTCAATCTCTAGTCCCCAAGCAGGCGGGAGCTGCAGGGGCCTCGCTAGACCTCACACTACACTGTACTGGCAAAAAATAAGTAACGCTGATCAGATGGGCAGAGAAAAACAAAGTTTATGCTGCAGTAACACAGTTCCCTGGTCAGGATCATTTAAATCATCAAACTGAGCCAGCCCAGTGTGGTGGTGCATGCTTGCAGGCCTTGATCAAGGTCAGGTCAGAGAGCCTGTGCTACACTGAGATTCTTTGTTTGTTCTTTGAGACACGGCTCTCTACGGCAGAGCTCTGGCTGTCCCGAAACTCAGTCTTCCATGGGCTAGGAATAAAGGTATATAGCAGCACATCTGTCATAAAAGCCAAAACAAAACAATGACATTGACTGGTAGGTGCCAGAACAGCACAGGTTTTTTTAAGTGTCCTTGCTGGGGAAATGCTCAGTATAGTGCCTGCCACACAAGAATGGGGACAAGTCCAGCAGTCACAGGAAGTGGGTGGCAGAGGTCTGTCTGCAACTCTAGTGCTCTGTACAAGACAGAGGAGGATCCCTGGAGTCTGGTGGCCAGCAATTCTAACAATGGACTCAGTGAGACCCTGCCTCAACAAATGGAATAAGAGGAAAAGGTGACCCCTGTTTTCTACATAAAAGGTGACTGACTGTCAAGCCAGGCATGTAGGCACCAGCCCATAAACCCAAGCACTTGGCAGAACTTGAAATAGGATTGCCTCAAGTTCAAGGGGGCAAGTACCAGGCCAGCTGGGGTTACAATGCAAGACCCTATCACAAAATGCCACGAACACATGCGTAAAACACAGGTGACAGGTGACGGGGTGGGAGACAGCTCAGTGATTAAGAGTGCTTGCTCCTCGTCCAGAAGACGACTTCAGTTTCCAGTACCAACACTGGGTGGTCCCTGACTCCCTATTCCAGCTCCTGAGGATGTGAGAGCCTCGTCCAGATTCAGAGGGCACCCACACTCACATAACCCCACAAGACAAACACGTATACACTAACTTAAAACAAAATTGTCTAAAGAAATACAGATGATACAATTGAGCCAACAAGTTGGCTCAGTGGGTAAATATGCTTTCTATGCAAGGCTTTTGTGTTCCACTTCGAGATCCCATGATCAAAAGTTATCCTGAACCCCACACACACGACACATGCATCCACACAAATAAGAATGTGAATACATGGAGGCTATCTTTGCAAGTGGAGATTGTTAAAACCTGTCTGTCTCATTTATACCTCAACTTACTAAAATAGGGCCAATCACTCACTCTCTCTCTCTCTCTCTCTCTCTCTCTCTCTCTCTCACACACACACACACACACCACACGTGCAGCCAAACATCCCCACCCCCTGACATCTGAGCTGCAATGGAGACCAAGGATGGGCACAGAAGAGTCACAGGTGCCCCGAGAGGACAAGGCTCACCCTGCCGGTGGTGATGGTGCCTGGGTGCCAGGGTCACTCGGCACTGCTCTGCTCGGCGGCTGGAGCGCGGTTCTCAGTTGGTGCTTCACCTGCCTTGGTCTGAAACAGCACAAGCAGAATTAAAATCCCCCAGAGGACTGTGTATTAAATAAAGGGTAAAGGTCTCACAAGAGAACATTCTTGCCCGAGAAGAAAAGTAACAATCAAGATTTGCTCGTCTCTTGTATGTGTGTCAGAGATTAAGTGGCTTCTAGTTGGCCCATAAATAACCCTCTCCCCAGAGTAGATGACACATAACTGCTGTCACTTTCTGCTGGCTCACCATCGATTTCCTCCTCTATTAACTGTTGTCCTTCATCCCGAGATCCCAATCACGCTAGTGTAATTCCTCCAGAGACTATTAACAAGCTCAAGCTCAAAGCTCGGTGAGTTACAGGCAGAGGATATTCACTACAGATGGATCCTAAGGAGAATCCTGTGCTTTCAAGTGTCCAGTTTCACACACAGCAAGACCATTGTTAGGATGATAAAGAAGATGGCACAATTAAGATCCCCTGGGTGCCGCCCTCCTGGCTTTACCTCTTTGCCATCTTGTGAAACAGTATTCAGGGGGCGGGGGCGGCGGCGATAGTTGTAGGGGCGCCGAAATCCACGGCGAGCAGACGGCTGGTTCGGACCATTGGCCGCTTGCTGATTCTCTTTATCTTCAGCCTCTCCAATAGCAGGGGCAGGTCGTGGGCGAGCAGGTCCCCTGGAGCAGGGAATAACACTTACAGTGTGAGTGAAGGGAGTAGGGGAGGGGAAATCAAGGTCACAGGGTCGCTTTACTCCCGAAAAAGGGATTAACCAGGACTTGCTCAAGGAGTCATGAGTCATCCACAGACCAGATCTGCAGATGGAGACGACGCAGTCTTGGTGACAAACCTTACTTCTCCATTATTCACACAGTTGTAGTGAACAAGCACATGGTAAATACAAAGTCCTACAAGGCTCTTTCATAGTCACCTAGGATTGGGAGATGACACAGCCAAGACCAAGCCTCACCAATCAACCGTGTAAGGAACAAATCCTTCCCAATGTTACTTTATTTTTGTTTGACTAAATCCTTATTGATAAATTAGAAGTTGTTTCTGGACTCAACTTAGGTCGAGTATCCCTAATCTACGAATCCAAAACACTGAACCTGAAATTTTTGAGTGCCAAAATGCCATTTAAAAAGTCTACTAACACCTTGGACCCCTCTGAATGAGGACTTCCCAGTTAGCATGTTCAACCAGTGAAACACAGGCAAATGTTCCCAGGTTCTAGATAGGGGAGGGGCAGCGTGTAAGACACACCAGGCAGGAGGTCAGTCCCGTGAGCTCCCCTCGCCATAGGGGTGAGGAGGAACTGACGAAGGCCTCTACTAGGAAGCTTCCACAGTGAGACGGCTCTAAGTGGAGAGCACCTGTGCTCCAAAGGCATGACCTGTGGCCCCGTTTCCATCCTGGAACCTGTGGTAGACCTGTCCTCTGACCTACTCATACATGCTGAGGACACTGCAAATGGTATTTAAGGACAAAACCAAACAAAACAGTCACCCAAAGGACCTCAGGGAGCCTAGCCCAAATGAGGCTTCAGACAGAAGAGGAAAAGCACATTCAAACGGCCCACCCTTCACGAACAGTAACGACAACAGGACTGACACCCGGGTTCTACTACTAAGGGCATCATGGTAAGTTTCACAGACCACTTGCTCATTTAAACTTCTTATCACTGACTGACTCCACCCAGTCTGGCGTTTTGAAACAGGGCCTCATTGTTAAGCCCTGACTGGTCTGGAACCCAGAGATCCACCTGTCTCTGCCTCCAGATTTGAATATCCAATGTGCAGATGTGGCAGTCACAGATGAGTCCAGAAACATGCCAAAGGACATGCAGCTACTAAACTTTTTTAAGTTTTCATGGGTTATGTGCTCCACAGCCAGATTCAAAAGCCCCAGTAGACTGCTTTGATGATTAACGTTGATGATTAAAATATTTAATATCTCAACTTCCCTCCACTGCTGACACATTAAACTGCCCACCACTTAACTCTTGTTTAATTTAGTAAAAGTTATGGTGTCAAACACCTGTAATTTCAGACCTGGATGGGTGAGGCTATGTGTGAGGAGCTCAAACTTGAGGACAGCCTAGACTACATGGTAAATATGAGGCAAGACTTGGCTATGCAGTAAAGACCCTGTGTCAAAACAAACAGAAGTAGAAAAGTAGATTTATCTGACTTCAAAGTGCAGGCCACGACTGAAGTGTCTTAGCATTGTGTGGAGCCCTGGGCTTCATCCCTACCCTAAAAAAAGAAACTTCCAGGCCTGTGACCAAAGCAGCCACGAAACAGACCCACAGTGCTCTGGTCCACCCTGCTGCCCCTCATACCTGCGGAACCTTGGGCGGTAAGTTGGATTCCGATGAACCTGGAGCTGTGCTCCCTCGGGGACTCCATCTTTCATCTCTCCAATCTCACCAGCCTAGAGGGGGCAACAACAGCTGGACATGAGTCAGGACACAGGGCAGGGGGAGTGGGGGGACAAAGCACACAGTCACGTGCAGAAGATTGGCTTAAAAAGCAAATCAGAGTCAAGAGCTTTGTCACCCGGCCCACTACTTACTGATCATTTTATGAATGACAGGAAAGGAAACCTAGCCACAGCCTTTCCCCGCTTCCTTACACAGACAGAGCACCCAGCTTCCCCGCAACACTGAAATCCGACCATTTCAACGCTGAAAAGACTATTCCAGGGGCTCGAGCTCTCTGACACGGCTCTCGGCTCGCATATGCAAACAACTGGTTCCCAGCACAAAAACCAAACAAAACTTCTTTTATAAAAGGAAATGACATTGTATTTCTGAGCAATGGGACATGTTCAACGGCTTCAAAGTCCAATGCACTGGTTTCCCATGCATGCCACTGTGCTCACAAGATCATGTCCGTGTCGTCCATGGCCAGGAGTAGCTGAGGGTAGGACTGAAATGCCTGGTAGGATTCAAAGACTGAGTTCAATGCTGTACTGACACATCTTAAGCGTAACTTTACCTATAGCTCTTCTTTTAACTTTTTCATCTGCTGTGTCATGTAACATTTAAAAGTATATTGTGTTATTTTGGAGGGGGGGGGGAGTATTGCAATTTGGTCTTGGCGACCCTGAAATGTGTGATCTCTCTGCCTCATTCTACCAAGTGCTACAATTAAAAGCATGCAGCCACCACCCCCTAGCATATAAATTCCTAGGCTAGTGATACAGCTCAGTGGATATTGGTTCCTGCCTCTGAGACTGGCAACCTGGATTGGCACCCAGGAACCCACGTGATGGAAAAGAGTGCTTGGTGCTTTTCTTGCAAGCTGGAGGACCTGAATTTGGATCCCTAGTACTAATTTAAAAAGTCAGGCAAGCATCTGTAATTCCATAATTAAGGAGGCAGAGACAGGAAGATTCCTGGAGCTCACAGGCCAGTTTCAGAGAGATCCTGTGTCTCAAAAACAAGGTAGATGGGGCTGGAGAGACTGCTCAGAGGTTAAGGACAGTGGCTGCATCCATGCAGTGGCCCACGAAAACCTCTGAGTCCAGTTCTGGTCTCCAATGGCGTCAGGCATGCATGCAGAACAGACACACACAAAGGCAAAATGCTGCTCCCCGACACATACACAAAATAGTAGTCAAGTAATGTAGAGATCAACAGAGGAAGATACCTATCATTGACCTCACAAAGTAACAACCCACCCCAGGCAGGCATGATAGATAGCACAAACCTATAACCCCAGCACTAAGTAGACTGAGACAGGGACATTATCATAAGTCCAAGGTCAACCTAGCTACACAATGAGACCTTGTCCTCCATCTTTTTAGCATAAAAGAAACATGAACATTCTCCCCACTCACCAGCATGCCCACCCACTAGTCTCCTTGTGATTAATTTCTACTTTACCCTGGATGAGAGCTTCATGGTCACATGTCTGTTCTCAACACTTGAAACAGACTAACCCTATTTATCTCTATCACCGATTAAGACACAGAAGCCTCTTGAAACAACACCCATCTCTTTCAGAGAACAATCCTCAGAGCATATTATAGTTTTACCATGTGTCAACATCCCTTACAGCAAGGTCTACTAAGAATCATGCATTAGATCAAGCTTAGTTGTATTTCTTTTAAGCTGAGATGTTTCATCTCTCTTGGCTTTCATGATCTGCGCACCTACATTTGGGTTGCATTACGTTTAATTCATGTATCTCTGATAGGAAAGGTCTCCACTGAATGTTCTGTAAGGAAGTCCCTTCACAGCCTGTACATGTCCAATCTCTCAAAGGTTTCACATGCTCACATACTTATTTCACCTGTATGGGCTCGTGGGTTTCCATTTTAGACAGCAAGCTATAATCTGTTACATTCATTACTGGCCAATAAATAGGAACTCCTGGATTCTGGCTCACAGCCTCTTGACAAGTTTCCAACATTCTTTAGACTACTTCCTGCCTTTTTGGCACAGGATGTTCAAGGCTTGTACTGTATTTTCTGATCCAGCTCAGAAAGCAAACATTTCTAGAAAGGGGCTACTTTCTGTCGAAGAACTGAACCCAGAAACAAGCAACTAGGGCTCAGCTGTGCTCAGCTGTCCTAGGGTGCCTTGCTTTGGGCTCCTTAAGCAGCAATGCACTCACAGAACAGACACTGGCAGTCTGACCTGTTGTAACCTTTATCTACCCCACCAAGCAGCTTTGGCAGTGTCACATGTCAAAGAGGCAAGAGAAGCCACGGCAAACCCAGCGCCATAAAAAACAAACAAACAAACAAAAACAAAACAAAACAAAACAAAAATCAAGAAAACATCTCACCATGGACCTACATTTCTCTGAGCTCCTTTTCAGATACACTAGCTACAGAGAACCCAACCCCATCACTACCAGCCATCAGGAACATCAAAGAGCATATTGCCTCTTTTTCCACTTCCTGACACATTACAACTTCTCACCATAGCACTCTGAGTTATCAAACCCAACCACTAATGCCAGCCTCATTTCCTCTATTCCTCAACTTCCTGTAACTGTTCCTTCCTAGAATATCCTCCCAGCAGGCAACCCTTTGCCAGGGAATATTCACCTTCTCAACCTTAGCCTTGACACCGCATCCCTGGCAACAAATGCTACTGTAGTGGCTGCATCTCCCTTCACTGGACACCCCTCACTCTTCTGTCCTAGATGCACTGAAACCTCTCCACAACAACCACAAGCCTGTCACCTACCATATTCTAGATGATACTTCCCTCCGTTGGGCTACTCTTGACCTCTGACTCTTTCTGCCAACCTTGCTATGGAAGAAAGATTTTCAAAACGGCTTCCGTTTCCTCCTGAAACTCCACCTTTCTTTCATGGTCTCACATTTCTGCTGACATCACAGAGGTAGCAACTCCTCACACCACATATCCTGGCCCTGACTGGGGAGCCTCACTTGCTCGGCAGGTGCAGTATCTGACTCACACCTACACTGTTCACAGTGGCCCGTCTTCTGCATTTGTTCATTGTCCCCTAGAGTCTGGTCCTCAAGACCAGACAATGTCATGGTGCCCATTCTTGGCTTCATCAGGTTTGCATCAAGACAAAGGTCTTTACCGAGTTTGAGCACGTGCCTTCCACAAGCTCTCACCCCATCATTCCCCTCCCCTGCACTCAACATCCCTCAACACTTCAACAACTAATAAGGCAGGCAGAGAAGTCACCATTATCTTTGTGTGGGGTGTTATGTATTTGTTTGCCTTCCTTTTCCTTTTTCTTTCTTTTTTCTTTTTTTTTTGCTTTAGTTTCTCAAAGCAGGGTTTCTCTGTGTAGCCCTTAGAACTGTGTATACCAGGCTGGCCTCCAACTCAGCATCTGGATTAAAGCCATGATACACCACTCCCGGCTATATGATGTGTCCTGGATGCGTCAGTATGGTAGAATGGGCACGTAAGTATAACAGTATACCTGTAGAGGGCAGAAGTAAACCTGCGGTGTGGGTCCTTGTATCTCACCATGCTTGAAACAGGGTCTTTTGTTAATGGCTACTGTGGGAAGTCAGGCTACTTGGCCTGCAAGCTTGTGGAGTTTCTCCTATGTCTGTCCCCAATCTTGCTGTATGAGAGCAACACACACACACACTGATACAACAAGCTCTACAGGGTTTCTAATGGTCTGAGCCCGGATCTTCATGCTTGCATGGCAAGTGCTTTGAGAACCATAACCTGAACCACCAAAGTTGCTAATTTTAAAGAACATTCCAATCCCTTTATTTCTGAGAAAAGCAACAAAATGTGAAAGCCACACTACTTAGTTCATTTCACAGGCCACAGGTTAGATGAAATCAAGACTGATTTCAAACATCTGCCACTTGGTAGGTGCCAGTGGCCGGAGCTTCCTCTTCTCAATCAATCTCTTCAAATTGCCCTTAAGCATTGACACTGCTCCATGAAATTCTACTGGCAGTATAGGTGTCAAAGTCTTTTCTATCTGGACTTAAGTAGTTTTTAACTACCTTAAGAGATCTATCTTTATTTTTAAGAATAATTTACAACAATGACATTAAAGATGCCTAGTAACATGTAAACAACTTTTACAAAGTTTCTGATTTCAGCTGTTGATCTGGCTTAAGGAGACTTAGTAATTATGTACCAACACTGCAGTAGTATGCATGAATGACTTTTGCTACAGACATCAAATATGTGTTTTGTTTTCAATATGGAATGGCCATGGTCTGCATGCATTACAAACAGCCACATGCACGTTATGTGTTGCTGAGAGTAAGCAAACTACTAGAAAATCAGCACAAAGGAATCACTGAACTACTCTTTTACAAATCTATGTGAAATAATCACTATGGTCTCAGAAGTATGCCTTACATGTGCCAAATAGTACGATTACCCCCAGGCAGCCACTGCTGAAGCAATATAACCAATGTTACAACCCAGCTGACTACTCTTGCCTTCATTTCCTAGAAGCCCTAGGGTTGCCCCGAAGGTCTACTATGCCTCGTGTACCCAGTGTTCCCACATCTCTGACACTACTTGTTATTTTTAGTACATTTGTCAGGGGCAGCTGTTGAAGAGTTAGAAGGGGAAAAACAAGAAGCCTTGTAGAAACAACAGTCATGCATGATGGAAATGGGAGGAGTTGTAGCAAAGAGATTGAACATAATGTTCAGTCAAAACATGGGGGGTTGGGAGGGTGGAGCCCAAGTACACGTAAGAGCCGTAGCTGGTAATAAATAAGGACCCTAGCTCCCTGGGAACAGAACACTGGCATAAAGCTTATTATAGACTTACAAAAGCTCTTCTCATTTCCAGCACTCCACCTCGCTTGCCAGAAGGCCAGCACTCTTATCTAATTTGATACATTTTCCTCTGGGCTTCACCTTCCTGCTTAATAGCAATGCCTCCATTTAAGGGGTGAACATGATTTTCTCAAAATTTGAAATAACCAGTAGCAGAAGCAGGATTAAAATTTGACCCTTTCTGAGAGCAGAGTCCAAGTTCTTGCCTGGATCATCTGTATCACTATGTAGCACACACAGGCTAGCCCTGAACTCAGATGCCTCCTGCCTCAGCATGCACTGCCATGCCTGACTTGTTTTCCTTACAAATCTACAAACTAGACACCCTACCCCATATGCATGTCATGATGTACTTCAAAATAATGTTTCTGAGTGTCCTCAACAGGCAGAAAGGGCCCTCCCTGGCTCAGCTTTGATAGTATAGGAAGCTGCAAGCAATGTGTTACTTCCGGTAGCTGGAGTTGAAGGAGGAGGAGGAGAAGGAGGCAGAGAAGGATGAAGGGCGAGGACTGCTGAGGAAGAGTCCCAGGTGCATTTTACCTGCATTCTGTTGGGATGGGGAAAGACCCGTGAGCGGCGGTCAAAGGTCTGTCCCACGTGGTAAGGCGGGAAACGCCGCTGCCGGTACGGAGGGCGATACTGGGGGCGGCGCAGCTGATTCCTGGCCCCAGAGAACTGCCCATCTGTGGCAGGGGGCTCAAATCCTTCACTGCTGCCGCTCCCTTCCTCCTCCTCCTCCCCAGCGTACTAGCGAAGCAAAGAAACAGAGTTTCAGAAGAAGTTACAGCCAGCAAGAACCAAAGAATACCACTTAGGATGGCTATCACCAGGAAACACCCACAACTCCCAGAGCAGTGCCCGCTCGCTGTGCAGACACAACACTGTGCAGGCACCAGGCAGGTAGATCAAGCGATTGCCTGGGATAAACTACATGAAGATCAAGGCAGATCTATGCAGGTAACATACCGAGCAGCACAAAAGCAAGAGCGATCAATCTGTTACCAAGTCTAACGGCACTCAATTACAACAGCAGTGTTACACTGTCTGGCTCCTTGCAAATGTCTCCCAAATTTACCCAGCAGGGAAAGTGTCAAGAACTGTCAAGAAAAAAAACAACTTCATAAGGTCATCGGCAGATCTGACCTAGGCAGTATGCTTCCTAGGGCATTTGGGTCTCTGGAAGCTTTCCCGGGCCAATAAAAGCAAAGCACTCCCAAAACTCCACTAAGATGTTCATCTCTCACCAGCATGTGGTGGGATCTTCTAGGATACAATGCATTCTCTCAAAAGACCAGACACTGAAACAGATCAAGAATGTGACTACCTTCTATTAAACCATACATCAGACACACAACGGTGCAGTGCAATGCCAGTCTGCTCTCCCAACTGAAATATCTCATTACTATGTAAGAAGTTGTTTTGTATTAATTTAATTTCTAATAATAGCAATATCAACACTGTCAATGATTCTGGAATCTGTAACACCAGCTAAGCCTAAACGTGGGTTCAAAAATCAAAAATCTTGAGGGCTAAGATCTACGGTGCCCTTCCCTTTGAATATCCAGAAATAAGGTTTAAGTGTATTTTAACAGCATAAATCTTAATACTAACATTTCTAAATATGGGACTTAAAAGGGGATTAACTACTTACTTTGCTTATTCTTTATTTAACTAATTAACAAACACCCCTCAAGAATTTATCTCAAATCTCACTTAAGCCAGTCTTAAGAGAAAACACCTGTAATTTCCTTTAAGGTGAATTGAAAACTAATCAGCTAATGACCAGTTTCTCTTTAAGGATGGATTTAAAGATTCAGAGCCTCCACACCAAACCCACACGCCCAACTAAACTCCCCACAGAACTGGTTTGATCTATCTTCACACACCAACAGCACACTGTTCTGAGGTACTGGGGTGTAACTCAAAGGCCGGTCCGTGTTAGGTGAGCGCTCTACCACTTAGCTATATCCCAGCCCGCTTTTTACTTTTCATTTTGAGACAGAGTCTCACTGAGTTACTCAAGCTGGCCTTGAACTCACTCTGTAGCCCAAACAGGGCTTGAACTTGCGATCCTCCTGCCTCAGCCTCCCGAGTAGCTGGGATTACAGACCTGCGCCACCAGGCCTGGCTCATTCTACTCTTTATAAAACCTGTATGAATAAATGATGCACAGTTATGTAAAGATATATTTTGCATAGAAAATATTCACCACATCAATTTCTGAAGGCATATCTCTTAAGTTCATGCAGTTAAATCTTTCAATCACCACCGCTGACTATACTCTAGTCAGGATAACGCGAGACCTCCACGTGGGTAAACTATGAGTCTTTTCCAGTTCTTGGAAGGGAAAAAAATTTTACCTAAGATTTTCTATGACGTCTACTTCTGAATTGACCTAGACATCAAACGGATCACAGCTGAACAAATGAGTTACAATCAGCGGAGTAAACCTCTCATCCCTGCCCCTGTCTGTCAAAGTGGGTATGTGTGTATGCGTACATCTGGATGTCGAGTTGACACTGGGTCTCTTTCTCAATTGCTCGCCACTGTATTTTTTGAGATAGGGGCTGTCACTGAACCTGGAGCTCATGGATTCAGCTAGACTAGCTGAATGATGAGCCCCAGGGACCGCTTGTCTCTGCCTCTCCACGCCTGTGGTCACACACCTCCACAACAGCACCCTGCAGGACATCATGCCTGAAAGGCAGTTACTCTGAGCTTTCTTTCTCCCCAGCCCTAGTGACTTTTTAAAAATCAAGACGAGTAAGAAAAATACAAATAGATAAAATGTAAAGAATGCAATTAAAATCAACACGGGACAGGGATAGAGAGCACAGTTTAAAAAGCGGACACTTAGGAAAAGATGCACATCTACCAAAAGGGAGCCAAGTGGATTTTTCTTTTTGGTTTTTTTTTTTTTTTTTTTTTTTTTTTTTTTGAGATTAGCTCTTACTACATAGCCCTGGCAGGCCTGGTACTCAAGAGACCATCTGCCTACCCCTGCCCCCATGTGTTGGGATTAAAGACATGAGCCATCCAACGTACCTGGCTATTCTGGAGATGTTTTGATCTTTTGAGAATTTTCTAAAGCTTCACTTTGTATAACACAAGCCACTGTGCTCAGAGTACCCTGATGGACATGCACGGTGCTGGCACTGGGCTCTACTTCCACAAACACCAAGATGAAGACTGCTTTCATTATCACACCTTCTTAATTCACACCTGGCGAGGTCCTTGTGATCACAAAGGGTTCATGTTTACCTTGAGAATATTCCTTTAAACTCTGCCTATGCAAGTTCCAGCAGGTTCACCTGAAAATGCTTTCCCCTGGACTGAGACTAACATAAAGACCAGAGATCAGTAACCACATCTTCTTTACTCTGAAATAAGAGCAAATGGCTTTCCCTTCGCTGAGTCGCTCAGTGCCTCTGCGGCCAGCATGCAGTGAATCCAAGACATTCCCTACTCTTCCTTGCCAACCAGATGCAGACTTTTAAGAGGTCAGCTGACTCAGCACCAAGGCAGAAAGAAACAGATTGCACAGCTGTGATGGGAACCCCAATCTGGGTGTCAGTGAATGAAGAGGAAGCCCTTGGACACCTTAATTAAATTTGCTAGTTCCAAGACAACTGAATGTCAAGCTTCCAATGGAACAGGTAGCTATGAATAAAGTCTGGCCACTAAAAATTCCCCTCCAAAAATTAGTCATGTCTCTTTATGTCCAGAATATTGCAGCTTCGAATATGGTACTTATCCGTTCCTACGTTCATTCACATGAGACTACTTGCAATCATCAGTTAGGGACAGACAACATACATTACGGGGAGGTCCACGGCGTCTGCCATAGTAGCCACGCCTGTAACGGCGCCGATCAGCAGCGTAACGGCTCCCTTCTACAGGAACTCCATCGGGACCAGTGACATTTGCTGCTTCAGCACCCTGGGGAAGAAAACAGAGAGGGTCTCCAATCTTCCAAGAAACCAAGTAACTTCCTCCAGCAAGAGACAGCTGCTGTGTTAATTCCTACTGTGATACTGAAAACACTGTTCTTACCACCTCAATGAGTTCCTGACCTACAGAACTGTACAACCCCTTGTCTGTTCAGCCATGTAGAAGCAGTGCATGTTTTGTAGAACATGTGTGAATGACTATGACACACTTCAATGAAAGACAACTGAAATACAACGAAACCTACTACCATGTGCTCAAACCTGTGGTACCCTGAGATATGATCAGGATCCTGATTGGTTGGCTCCAGCTGCTCTGACCAGCCAAGTTACTTAGTGGGAAACATCTCTGAGCTTCACACAAACGGGAAAAAAAGGCCCCAACTTAGCAACAGTTTCCACACACAGCTCTCCTTTCGGCCTTTCTCTTATATTCTTAACAATGACTGAAGAGTTTTTCCTAACCCTAGGTGCTAGGGCCAAAGCTAAGGGCAGGCATCCTAGACACTGTACTAAGCTATATCCCCAGCCACCACACCACCAAATTCACAAACCTGTACGGAAAAGCCCCACTTCCTTGAAACAGGCTATTCTAGGGATCAGGAAACTGCAACTTCTCCCATCTGAGACCTCAATTGCTTATCCTTTACAATGCAACTAGGTGCAGAGGTACAGAATAACTGGCCAGTGTAAATCCTGGTTATCAAGCCCAGGGTTTCCCAAAGTCACCTGGCATACCTGCCTGGACTCTAAAATCTGGACAGCATGAGATCGGACACAAGAACACCTACTAGAAAGACTTGTTTCCTAGGTCCCTTAGAGCAACCTACACAAGGAATAGGCTGCGTACACTACCCAGGAGGTTGCTGTCTGCAGCCATTGCACACCAGGATCCACCAGGAGAGGAAACTGGTCGGCTTAATTGGTTGCAGTCAAAAATTTCGGGGGTGGGGTGCTTCTGAATTTTAATGTACAACATAGGCTGGCCTTACAACTTCAAAACATTCTTCTTCCCTCAGTCTTTCCAGTGCTGGGGTCACAGGGAGGTTACCACCGTGTCTGGTTTCTGTGGTGCTGGGAATTGAACCATGAGTTGCATGCATGCTAAGCAAGAACTATCAACTGGGTTACAAAACAAGCCTTGCCCAAGACAGTTTAGGGAGTTTAGGGTCCAAAATAAAATGTACCTTAGACTTTAACAAACTAGCATTTATTCCAGAGTTCCTTCATTAAACAAGAAATCAAAAGTTACAGCATACTGAGTATTTATAGTGGCATCCAATGAAAATATTTCTGCCTCCACTTCCTCCTATCACAAAATACTTAAACAGCACCACTTCACCGTGGCCAAGGAGCCCTTATCATACAACAAAAGTGTGTGCAGGCACACTCTTACTCCATCAGCTCCTCACCTTTTCCCCTTCAACCACATCAAACTCTACAGTCTCTCCATCTCCCACACTGCGAAGATACTTGCGTGGATTATTCTTCTTGATGGCGGTCTGTCAAGGAAAACAGAAAACTCCATTGGAGGTGAATCCCAACACTGAAAGGTATTATCAATTTCATGTTAGCCCAAATACTGTACCTGTATTTTATTAAAAAAAAAAAAAAAAAAAAAAAAAAAAAGAAAGAAAAAGGTCTTCCATTACCCTGCATCATTTCTGGTTTCCGGGATGCTTCAGGATGCTTCCCGTGGGTAGATTAAAGAGATAGGTCACTACTGTGCACCCTGTCACTCAAGATTCTTAGTTACATCAAGTCAAGAGGCTCCTGAGGTTCTGTCTATGGCTCCTTCCACAAGGGCAAAATGTCTACATGAGACCTTATATGCACATAAACAAGGTTTGGGCACAGAGATTTTATACATAAGAGAAGATTTCAGCCTCAAAAGCTTTTTGAAACAGGGTGGCAGGCTGGAGTGATGGCTCAGTAAGTATGAACACACACTGCTCTTGCAAGGGCTTGAATTGGGCTCTTATACATCCACAGTATGTGGAAGATAACCACCTGTCACTCAGGATCTGGTGACTCTTCTGGTATCCAAAGGCACTGCACTCAAGTGCACATTAACTACGACACGCCCCCCCACACACACACACAAAAAATAAAAGCTTAAATAAAAGAGAATTTGAAAAAAAATGTATGGGTGGCTGGAGAGTGATGCATGCCGATAACGCTAGCATTTGGGAGGCAGAAGCCATAGGCTCAGGATTCCAACACTAGATTCTTTCTCAAGAATAAAGACAGGCTTAGTGGCTAATGTTTGAAATTATCAACACTTGGGAAGATGAGGTAGAAGCATTATGATCTTGAGGCCAACTGGGGCAACAGAATTCAAGACCAGTATAGACACAGAATAAGAAACTGCCACACAAAGGTAAATGAATAAATAAAATGAGTGATTAAAAAAGGGATAAAATGTCAATGAGATATTTATGACCATAAATACTATGATAATATAATGAATAAATAAGAACATTTCAGGAATGATAAGATACAAGTGTAATCTGGTCTCAATGAGCTATCCCATATTATGGATAAGGAAACATGAGGCCACCAGGTGACTTATCTGAGCTCACAGGCTCAAACAGAGGAGATTCATAACCCTACACTGTATCTGTGAGTTCTCAATATTTCTCACCTCACATGCCAGCTATCAGTAGAAAGGGAAGACAGCACACTACACCAGACGTCTGCACCTACAACACCTGTGTAAGAAAAGGAAGGCCCTTCCTCTTTTCCAAATACAGGGAGAGAAGAATCCAAAGTTCCCCTTCCCTGGCCAGCCATCTGTAAACAGTTAAAGGGGAGTTTCTATGGAACTAGGTCAACCTTATATTTTATAAAGCGATTAGACGTGTATAATCCAGCCTTCCTCTATCTACTGAGTAGGAGGGAAAGAAGGGGAAAGTGAGCCAATAGGGCAGAGACCTCACCCTCTTGAGGAGGAGGCAGCTCAGGACAGGATGTATGTGCACACATGAGCACTTAGCCATTCCAAAAACCAGCTCCTCCCTGCCAGCTCGGTCCCTTTTTCCTGTTAAACTGGGCAGGCCTCAACACACTGAGGTGACTCACCATACAACCTCATGGGGCTGGAATCGGGTCATTAGCTTACAGGCTGAGAGGCCGCCACCAGCACAGAAACCCCTCCCCCCCAGCAGTCACTGGACAGCGCGTCTCCCAAAGGCATTAACCTCCAGATGCTAGGCTCGACACTTCCTCTCTAGTCAGCCAGGAGTTATCTCACCAAATCCACTCCAGTTATCTATATACAACAGAAATGTATCCCATAGGACAGACACGACTACTATAGGTTTTTATGAGTGGCTATCTCCGACTGCCAAACTCCAGCCCAAAGCACACAAGCCCAAACACTAGGGAGCAAATACAGCAAGCGTGGCAGCTCTTGCCGATGGGTATGCCACTGCCGTGACTGCTCATTGAGACCCTGAAAACGGCATGCCTCTCCCAGACTGCATACACAGAAGGGACAGCAAGAATGGGCATGACCTCTCCTAACCTACTCTATAAAGCAAACAATCTGGGTAGGGTAATAATAAAGGCCAGCTGAGGACCGAGACATACGAAGCAGAATCCCACGATGCCATTCTCTTTCAAATAAAAGGGAACTGGAGGGGGAGCAGGGCATGGTGGTCCTTGGACCTGGACATATGCTGGACGTGTCTCAGTCAACGGGAGGGGGAACCATCTAAGGAACAGGAAGCTCACGTCTGAGACACACACTTCTAACTTTCTACTTCTGGGTACTGTTCACAAGACAAAGGAGTTTTATCCATCACCAGCTCAGGCAAAACCCAGGTTGGCTCTGGCCAAGCACCAAGGAGAACCACACCATCAGGCCAGGAAGAAGCTGACCGACCCCAGAGCAGCTGTTTTGCTAAGGACTCACTCATATGCTTTAAAAACTAGAAGGTGGACTAACTGAGTATGACTTCATGCAAACTTGGAAACAGTTAATACAGTGGGCTAAGAAGTGTTATCTGCCTCTCTTGGTAATGTTGATTTGAACCTTCATTCAAAAAAACAAAACAAAAGAACAAAACAAAAACAAACTCCAAAGGAGTTCAGGGTACTGCAATCACTTGCAGAGCTCACACAGCCAATGTAAGCTATCATCGCTAGAATCCCTCTTACCTGGTGTACAAACACATCTTCTTTGGTGTCATTTCTGTTGGGAGGCAGAAAAAACAAACAAACTCACAATTAAAGTTCTGACCACTCAGAAAAGCTTCAAAGGACAAATGTATTGAGCTGAGATCCCAAGACCTGAAAACCACTACCCTTTAAATAGTTCGTCTTTTCAAAACAGACATCTATAACCAATTCCCATAATCCTCATCTCTCTCAGATGCCCCCTTCACTGCTCCACATTGCAATGCAGAAATGCAGGCTTTGGATCCCACAGAGAAACACCCCTTTGCTCTCACGTCTTTCCCAATCACATGCTATGTAATCAGAGCCCTAAATTTTCCTCCCAGCAAAAGCAAGACATCAGTCAAAAGGACAGGGCACAGCTGTGAACTAGGCTCTCCTTACACTGAAACTTAAAACAGCCCTCCCACCACCCCACCCTAGCCTCCACCCCACCCAGGCAGATGAGGAAGAAGATGGAGGAACTGCTTTTAAAAAGTAAGGAAACAAACACTCCAACACCCTGTAAAACACATTCCCATGTCTCCCAGCAGCCTGTGGTTACCCTTCATTCCCGTATGGTCACAAGGCACCATGGTTTAAACACTGGTTTCCTCACAGGACTTGGACCAAACCAGAGCTGGCCTTCCAGCCCCAGCTCAGTTACTGGCCAGTGTGTGACCTTAAGGAAAGCTGCTTAACCGGGCTCTCTCATCTCCATCTGTGAATTTATGGGTAAGGACTAACTAAAGTCCTTCCATTTGACTGTAATTTTCATCTCCTCTTCTAAACACTAGAGGATACCAATTCTTTTAAATGTCTCAATAGAATTAATGATTAGCAGCAGCTTGGATGAGGATATTTACCTGGCTCAGGAATCTCAAAATGTATACATACAGCCTATTAAGCAGGACAATGGATCTGTAACTGCTGTTGCTACTAGACGGGTACAAAACACGCAGACACATACCGATTTATAAATCCATATCCATTTCTGACGTTGAACCATTTGACAGTGCCAAGGACTTTGGTGGCTAAAACAGGATTAAGCAGATATGTTAGCACCTGACTTATAAAGAGATAAAGCTCATATCACTAAGGTCCTGGTATCATTACACAAAGCCTAACACCCTTGAATAAACCATCAATGGCTTAATCCCCACCACCACCACTACCAAAAAAAAAAAAAAAAAAAAATTGAGAGGAATGTGGAGCTGTGATTATTGCAGTACTCTTCGCCAAGGCCTCAAGGGGGTGGTCCCCTGCCTGGAGAATTCTTTGGTAACTAAAACTGAGAAAGGTGATTGAGGGAATGAGCCAGGCAAAGACTGGGTTCTAAGGCAGAAGCAGCTGGGCATGCCTAAAACCCAGCACTTGGGAGGGGAAAGCAGGAAGATCAGTAGTCTGAAGCCAACGTGGGCCAAATAAAACCATCCTGAAAAAGCAAAACCTGAAACAAAAAAGGCCCAGGAAGCTCGGGGGAAGAGCACTTAGCATTCAGGAGGCAAGGGGTGTGGGCCGCAGTGCACAACCAAATCAACAACTAGCAAAGGACAGAAACATTCCAGTTATTCACTCACAGACATTTCCTATATGCAACGGGAGAGTCACAGAGGATGTACAGATAGCTGGGCCATCTTATTTCCAAACTTTGGAAGACGGGCAAACTTTAATACGCAACACAGTAGCTCCTTCTTAGTCACCAACCTACAAATATGTAAGAGGGACTTGTCTGGTGGCCAAGTGAGTGGTGGCTCACCAGTGCAGGGTGATAATAAACAGAACCGATGCTGCCTCACCCCAGCTATGTACTTACCATCCATGACACAACAGGCCCTTTGCACACCAACATCTCTACCTGCTGTCTTCAGCAGCTGAGAAGGGGACCTGGCCCTCTCTAGAAGTCAACTTGATTACTGTCTCTATCCTGTCACAGGCAAGATAATTTCTCTACAATGCCCCACTTGAGAATTCATTAAGAGAAAGAAAAAAATCTAAATCTTGTATATATACATTAAACTATTCCAAATAAGACTGCTAGAATCAATGACGAATGTCAAATTTAGTATCTCTGGGAAGTAGATTGGTCTAAATCCAGGAAACGCACAAAGCAATCGTCAAGACTCAGGCAAACAGCGGCAAGATGCACTTACAAAGGGAAAGCTGAGGAGGGAATGGTCCAGACCAGACCCAGGCTGCCTCCCTCTCAGAGACCTCAGAGACGAGGCTGTTCTGAGTCTGGCACTGGACAGACTTGCAAAAGCATCTTCGCTTTCAAAGAAAGAAGGTAAATTGACGTTTCAAATATCAACACACAGAAGGGGTCAGGTTTGGATAAACAGCATGATCTCTATGTCAGGGTCCTACATGCGAGGGTTCTGTGCTTCCTTCAAAACCTCTGGTCCTATAGATGCGCTCAGAGATCTGACGGAGGGGCAACACTAGGCGGAACGTGGTGGTGCACACCTGTAATGCCGCCGGCCCTCGAGAGGTGGAGGCAGGATGGTAAGGAGTTAAAAGTCCTCCTCTGCTTCAAAATGAGTGGGGTTAAGGCCAGCCTGGGCTGCTTCATGAGAGCAGAGTGGGGGGGGGGGGACAAACAAACAAACAACAACAAGAAAACAAAACTGAGTGGAAATCCAGAAGACACACACAAGGAAGGTGGGGGCAGAGGCAGTGATAATGTCACGAGGCTTCCAAGGTTGAAAGGTTTGCTTGTTTGTTTTTAACTTCCCAAAGTAGTTTTAAAAAATAATTATTTGGCTAGGCGGTGCTGGTGGCTCACGCCTTTAATTCCAGCTCTTGGGAGGCAGAGGCAGGTGGGTATCTGTGAGTTGGAGACCAACCTGGTCTACAGAGTGAGACTGTCTCAAAAGAAAACAAAAACTAATTCTCCAGATTTTTTCCAAGGACTTAGTATAACCAAACAAATCCACTCGCTCTCTGCTTTAATACCACAGGTATACAAGGACACAACAAGGGACTGGTGGAGTTCTCCTAACCAGTTCTTTAACTCGCGTAAACTGTTATCCCTAAAGGACTACACGCTATGAACCAAAGTCGAGGCCCCTTTGCAAAGACCAGAACGAGAGCATCCAAGAACAGATATCCATTTCAGTCAGCACCGGGTCCAGAACATTTTGGGTATCCATGTGTCTGCTTGGCACAGGACATGGCCAGACCACACTGGACAAAGACAAACAGTGCTCAAGTGTCAGGATGGCTTGTCCTTCACTTTTGAGAGGTAGGATGAAAGACATCAGGCTTGTCACCAGCTATCTGTCTGGCAGAAACAGGACCAATTGCTGGAGATTGTGGAAATCCTTTCATTTATCGGCTTCCTCCATCTCCAAAGACATTATCTACCACAAGTGCAAGGGTCAGGTGAAAACCTGTAGGATTCCATCGGCCCCTCAGTAAGGTATCATTAAAGAACCTGCTTTGATTAGCAGCGCAGGGTTCCTTCCACCCTTTCATTCTGTGTGGAAGTGGCCCAACCAGCATGTAGGGGAAAGTACCACAAACGCCAAGACCTTTAAGGAACTTTTCGGTGCAGATAGGGAATGGGGAGGGGGGAGCACGTAATTTGGCAAGAAGCGAGTTTTCAAAGCCTTGGAAAAAAAACAAGAACCCAAGGACTGCCGAGAGTGGAGAACACCTAATGCTGTTCTGTTTCTTCCAATTATCCCTTCAGCTTTCTTGCTAAATGGGGAGGAAACTCGGGATGGCAGGCGGGCCCAGTCGGCCCCACCCAGAAACAGTGACCATTTCGGAAGGATCCCACACCACCTGTTAACTTTCCTGTTTCAGGGAGCGAACCACATGCGCCGCGTGCACACACACGCCCTTCAGGGAGCTTACTCGCCACCCACCTGCTCGGCAAGCCCGTGGAAGGCCTCACTCACACCGGGCGATCCTTAAGGAAGATGAGGACACCGAAACAGAGGACAAAACCCGCCGCCACCGCTGCAAAGTCTCTGCCCCCTAAAATCTCCAGTCTCCCACCTTCCCGTTTCCCTTCCAGTTACATGTTCCAAGATAACCAACCATGTTTTGGACACACGCCCTACTCCACTTCCGACCAAGTTTTTCCCAGCCACCACACCACGCGCGTTCCCACAGTGCGTGCGGGGGGAGGGAAAGGTGCAGCAAATGGTGGGCACTGGAAGGCTCTGTGCATCTGTGCCACGGCCAGGGGTGGGGAGGGCGCCCGCCCCAACTTTCCCGAGGCGTTGCAACATCCCTGTGCCGGCATGTGGCCGGCAGGAGCATGGCGGCTGTCCCAAACCCACGAGGGAAGGGCGTCGGGGACAGACACCTGACTCTCCCAGGCCAGGAAAATAAATAAACAAAAACAAAAACAAAAAAGCAATAGTCTTCCCAACTCACCCCACCCATCCCTCCCCGGAATCCCATCTCCCCTCCCAAGGAAACGCGCTGCTTTCCCGACCTGCAGCAAAGACTCCCAAGTCCCGGTCCACGTGTCCCAGCCCGCCCTGCATCCGCGTCCATCCTCGCCCGCCGCCTCTCCGGCGCTGCACCCGAGGACTCACCGAGAACTTTCTTCTCCGCGTCCTCGCTGCCCGCGGGGGCTGACGAGGCCGGGGCCGGCCCGGGGGCCGCGTCTCCGCCGGGGCTCCCCGCGAGCAGCGCGGCGGGCGCCGGGGCCTGGGGCGCGCCGCCGGCCGCCGGGCTCTTGGGCGCGGGGTCCGGGGGCGCCGCGGCGGGCGCGTCGGCCGCGGCCTGCGGGAGCGTGGTGCCGCCGGTGGTGGCCTCGCCCGCCTCGCTCATGCCGCCTCTCCGCTCTCTCCGGGCACCTCGGTGGCGGTTGGCGGCGGTTAGCGCGGTGGCGGTCGCGGCGGCCGGCTCGCTCTCGGGGAGGCCGGTGCGGATCGCGCGGCGCGGCGGCGGGCGGCGGCTCGAGGGCAGGGGACGCGCGCGCTCGCGGTCTCGCTGGGTCTCCCGGCCCCGAAGATGGCCCCGCGCAAGTGCTCGCGGGCGGCGGGCGGCGGGCGGCGGGCGGGCGCGGGGCGGGGAGAGGGTGGGGAAAGCCGGCGCGGCTGCTCATTAGCATTTAAAGGCACCCGCGGTTCTCGGAGAAGCAAGGTGTCCCCGGGCTGGCGATCCCCGGGACTTGGACTCCCGGGCTGGGTAGAGGGGATCCCGCTTCACAGGACATCTTTCACCGGAGCCTGCTTCCTGGAGAGGTGGAGTGGGGCAGCCACACACCGTCTTAACAAAAAAAGAACACCCCCACATTCCTTTTTACATTTGCGTATCCTGCAGACACCAGAAACTATTCTGGGTCCTGCGACTTGGAACTGGAATAACCCGGGCGCCTAGGCTGGTTCGCTCTGGTAATGTCAGTACTTCAGAGGTTGAGACAGGAACATCACTGTGAGTTCGAGCCTAGCATGGGCTACTGAGACTGTGCCTCAACTACCCCTTCTCCCAAGAAATAGCACAGAAACAAGGATTGGAGATGTAGCTTAGGTGATCCAGTGCTCGTCTAGCATGCACATAGCCCTGGGTCTAGGCATGGATCAGTTCAAAGTCATCATTTGCCAAAGATGTTTAAGAATTGCATGAGACTCTCCAAACAGGTGCTTGCGCGCGAAGGAACACCCCTCCCTCCCTCAACAGAAAAAAAAAAAAAAAAAAAAAAAAAAAAAAAAAAAAAAAAACACCTGCAAGGAAATCTTAAGGCCCCATTTAGCTACTCTACAGGTGAGAAAATCAAAATCTAGACCTTATAGAATTACTGCAAATGCAGGGTTTACGCCAGTTATAAGCAACAGATAATAATCTGTTAATATTTATTAACCTACTTTGAAACAGTGGAATAAATCCACATCATGCCTTTTGTTCCAGTCGATTGTAATTAGCTCTAAACTGGTGAAAGCTTGAGCAATTGAGAGCAGGGCCTGCCTGCAAGGTGGCTTAGCAGGTAAAGGCTTGTCTCTAGTTAAGCCTGACCACCTGAGTTTGATCTGAGAACCCACCTGGTGGAAGGAAAAAAGCCAACTCAAGTTGTCCTGACCTCCACACCCGTGCTATGGCAACAGCATGCTGCCCTGCCCCCCATACATGGGGAAAAAAAAAAAATATTGGTTTGTTGTTGTTTGTTTGAGACAAGGTTTCTCTGTGTTAAACCTGACTGACTGTCTTTGAATCCCCTCTGTAAGATCAGCCTAGCATCTGAGAGATCCTCCTATGCTCCTCCCCACTGCTGAGAATAAGGGCATGCACCACCATGCTTAGCTTAGAAAACAATTTTTAAGGAAGACAAAAAGAAAAACCAAGAGTCGTCCCGGCGTCTAGGATGAGAAATACAAGAAGCAGCTCAGTCATTAAGCATTCCAGCTGATGAGCACACATTATCCTTTTACATAGTGATGCTGAACACATGACCAAAATACTGAGAGCTGTATCAAGGACTATCTGGAATACAGGGCCATTTGGCCGCGATAGCTCAAAATGGTGCCTCGCCTTAGTAACCAAATAATTATGGGTCAACTCCTCAGTGCCCTGGAGTTGCTAACCTTTATGAGAGTTTTGCAAAGCTGCTTGTCAAGTGGAAGAGTCACCATGTTTTCAGCGTCTGCCCAATGAAAGTTTTCTTTTAAACTTCCCTCTTTCCCCAAATATTTACCCTCCTTTCCCCCCTAGAATGTGTTGGCCATGTCATCAAGATGGTAGCTCCCTAGTGCAACTCAACTCCTCGTTTCCTTTCCACTGGTTAGCACAATCTACAGCCTACACCTTGCACACAGTACATGCAGAATGAAAACAACAAAAACTTATAGTGTAGTCATTGTCAATAGAGTTTGCCTGTGACAAATACAATTTTAAAAAACAGTTAAACCACGACCTGATGGTACACGCCTTTAATCTCTGCACCGGGGGGCAGAGGCAGGCAGATAGATCTCTGTGAGTTTGAGGCCAGCCTGAAAAGCAAGTTCCCCAGGCTGTCGCACAGAGAAACCATGTCTTTTAAAAAAGCAAAATCAAACAAACAAAACAAACAAACAAAAAATTAATAGTTTGGCAGGTGAGATGGCTCAGTAAAAGTACTTGTTACCACACCTGATGACCTGAGTTCAATTCCCAGAACCCTCAGGGTAGAGGGAAGAACCAACTACAGATAGCAGTTCTCTGACTTCCAAACCTGTGCAGTGGTAAGCATGACACCCATGTCATCCATTGTACGTACACACACACACACACACACACACACACACACACACTAAATAAAAATAATTAAAATGTTAAAGAGTAAATAAAAATAAGTTCTAGTCTAGACAGGGTTGATGTAATCCCAGGACTTGGGAGGCAGGAAGGAAGATCATAAATTCAAGGCATGCTTGACCTGCATAACTAAACCCCATCACCCCAAACAAAAAATGAAATCAAAATAAACAAGTAATCCTTAAAATTAGAAATATAGTTTAGAATTAAAATCCTCAATGTTTAAACAATATCATTGCATGTTCCATATTGAAATCAAATGAAAATATGAATACCATTTATGGATTTGCCACAGCTGGCAGTGAGAAAACCATACTCACTGTGAGAGAATAACTCCTGACCTCTGGAAGACCACAAAGGAATTGGAGATGTTCTTACTGGGACTTCCTAGAATTTGAGCTGGATGAGTTCCCCGACTACTCATCCAATAAAAGCAGCTGAGTGAGCGTTCTTGATCCTGAGCTGGATAAATCTAGGGAGAATGAGTGAAAATCAACATGACTTATGTCGTCTTAATAATCAGTCTTCACTTGGGACTACCTTGATACAAATGAACATAAAGACACCCAGTCCCCACTCATGCACACTCACCCATGAAGCACTCCTATGTGCTAGGCAAAACACTGCGCTGTAGACCAGATGCTGCTCAAGATGACTCCCTCTGAGACCTTTGTGTGATATTCAAGTGTTTCCCTTATCTTTTTCAAACTTTTCACACTGTTTGGCTTTTTGAGACCGGATTTTCCAATGTGGCACAGGCTGGCCTGGAGCTCATCAAAGACCCGCTGTCTCAGGCTCACGAGTGTTGAATACTGTTTCTCCTACAAGCCTGTGACTGTTATTTCTAAAATGTGAGATTGCATGGATGCGAAGTCTATTGCAGACAGCCATCACTTTAAAACACTGGCTATCTTGGTTCTGAGAACAAATGCTACTCTATTCCCTGTAAGAAGGAAGACGGAGCATCCATGGGGGGTTGCAGAGGCAGAGAGAGTCAGAGCAACGTTCCCAAAGATCTTTGGTGTCCCTCTCAAGCCATTCTGTCTCTGGGAAACTCTTAGCCCTTCACAGCTATATCTAGGCTTTATGATACTTAAAGCTAATACAATTTAGAGTTCTTTCTTAAAAATAAATAAAGGGCTGCGAGCTGGCGAAGGGGTTTGCCACCACACGGGACATTCCTGAAGCAGGTATGACGGAAGGGGATTACCGATTACCTCTGACCTCCACACTTGAGCATGTGTCCTGTCCTCAAAGTTAAATACATAGTTTTATTTTAATTATAGTTCCTTGGTCATTTGAAGAGAATGTTCCCCCATAGGCTCTGGCATTTGAGACCTTGGAGGTGGTGGCATTTGAGATCAGCACCCATTTGGTGGCACTGTTTGGGGAGTGTGTCACTGAAGGTGAGCTTTGAGGTTTAAAAGTCTCTGACCATTGCCAGTGTGCTCTCTGCTCCTAGTTGCCATTTGAGATATGAACAGTTGGTTGTTCCCGCCACTATGTCTGCTGCCTGGTGTCATGATTCCCTAACACAGTGGACTTATCCCTCAGGAACCATAAGTCATAATGTTTTATCATAGCATAGAACAGTAACTAATACAGGTTCTTGAGACCAACTTTGCCAAGGCCATTCTAGAGTCTTACTAAAAGTCCTCAAAAGACAGGAGTCCTGACGTGCATTCCCTTCAAGGTGTCAGACCTGCACCAGGCTCTCTCAGTGCTGGCAGCTGGTCAAGAACTTCTTCTGGTAGCATCTTGAAGCCTCTGCTTGCCCAGTCATCCTCCTGGAACTGGTTTCCCCCTCTTTTGCTTTCTAAACCTCTTGCTGACAGATTCCCACCTATAAATATGTAATAGAGAAAGGGATTTTGGGAAGTGTAGTTCCTGCCTTTGAAGAGGCTTAGGATGAGGTTGAGTTGACAGGAGACTATGCAGCAAATCACCCCAAGGTCCTAGTTGACTGGTGTTTACATATGGTTTAAAGAAGCACCTACATTCAAGTAATTAAACCAGGAAAACGGGGAAATGTAAACCTGACTGACTGAGCTAAAACCAGTCAGCTAAAATTAGAAGGGAAACAGGTTAGCATCCCATGGTAGGAATAGAAGGTAAACATTTTCACAGTGTCCCTAGCAGTATTGGGAGGAGGCGGGCCCTGATTATTCTATTCCATTCACATTTGCTAACATTTCTTTCAGCATAGATCATGATTGGCCTCATTAGGTGCTAATGATGTCACATAGAAGAAAACAAGGATGGCCCCCATATTTGAGGAGATTATGGTTTAGATTAGCGCTGCCCCAAGTAAAATGTATATGGAGCCCCAAATATTACATATATGCCTGTGTGTGCATCTATATGTCACATATAATACATACGTATGTCTCACACAATATACACATTACATACATATCATACTACACATATAAATAATATATGGGTATTTGTTAAATATTATATATATACTTACAATTATGTGTATATATTTCTTAGTCATCATTCAATTGCTGTGAAGAGACACTATGACCAAGGCAACTCTTATTTTTTTTATTTCAAATTTTTTTTGCTCTTATTCCAGTTCCCTCTCCTTCCCTCCCTTCTCCCTTTCTCCCTCTCTCCCAAGTCCCCCCCTCCTATCTCATTCCCCACCCACTCCACAGGGAGGGTGGTG